TTTATTAACAAATGCTATAAATGAATTGAAATGTTTGCCGGTTCCTAAAACGAAAAATGTTTTAACAATTTTCATGAAAAGTATTATGTTCAAATTGTTATACCGTTTAAAATTTTATCTAAATTAACCTCAGGGTCATATCCATATTCAAAAAAAACACATTGTCCTTCTGATGTATTATGCCATTCATATGGCTTACAAATCGCGCCATTTTTCAGTGTTGTAGTTGTAAGATTATCTGTGTCGTTATTAAGAGCAATACGATAAATGGGTTTTCCTGCTGATGCTAAATGAACAGCTACAACCGCCCAATAAGCAAATACACCTAATTGTAGTACAAATGGTATAAATGGCCAAAATAAACTGAAAAAATTGTAACCGACGGCTTTGGATGCTTCTTGTAGAAGGGCTAATGCTAGTCTTAAACGTTTAAATATGGCAATTAATATCAAACATGAAATTAATAACAACAATGCACATATAATTCCAACTACAAGCCATGTAATAGGTAAACTACGATAATAGGATGCATCAGCAACAAATTTAAAGTCGTCGACAATTGTATTATTATTTTTCGTACGTAATTCAAGAAATTCCAGAAAGGAAAATCCTGTACCTAATGCTAACATTAAAATAAATGCAATTATACCGAACCAAATGAGCGGTTTAGCTAACCAACGCAGCAGTACAATCCAAATAAACTAAAAAAGATAATGAAATATTAGTAAAATTATGAATTAAAAATATGGATTATAATTACCGATAGAATTGCACTTAAACTAAGTGCAATCAATATTAAATACCACGAAGTTGTAAAATCTTCAACAAGAAATATCCCAATTTGTTTCAAGTTTAATAATTCAACAAAATATTTAACACCGTCCTTTAATTTTGAAACACTTACAACTTCACCGTTAAAATCTGTTACATTGGTACCATTAACCTTCAAATACAGTAAAATATGATTTCGATATATGCAGTCGATAGCCTTTGTTCCAAGGGGGAAAAAGCATACTTCTGTACTTCTGGTACTTCTCCGTACTTCTTGATACTTCTTCGTACTTTTTTGTACTTCTCCGTACTTCTGAAGTACGAAGTACGAAATACGGGATTTCGTATTTCGTACTTCATACTTCAGAAGTACGGAGAAGTACGAAGAAGTACGAAGAAGTACCAGAAGTACAGAAGTATGCTTTTTCCCCCTTGCTTTGTTCACAGGAGCATTCCTTAACATACCGGAATAACATTATTCAACAAGTTTGCAATATCTTTCGGTACACATCTGTGAAATAATGGTTTACTTTCTATCGTATATGATACACACTCTTTGTTTTTTACAAGATCTTTAATATTATCTTCGGTTGCACTGATGTTATATTTACATATTATATTGGATTTGTAACTATCCCAAAAACGATGATAAGAATTTCCAGTTGGACATTTATCCACACAAACTTGAGTTGTTGGACAAACAAAGGGACGCCCATCAATAAGTTGTTTTGTCACGTCGAACACTCGATAACATTCAGTCCAATCGAAAAAATAAAGATATGGTTTATCCTTAAAATCTCCGCTACCACATAAATTTCCTTCAGAATCCGTTGGCAATACTAACTGTTTTGGATTACCTTTAAATTGAAAACACAGACAGTTTAAGATATTTTCATTTTAGACAAATTTTATGATTCAACTAACCTTCTTGGAAGGCAAATATACTCAATATAACAAAACAAATGATAAATAGAATAAATAGAATACAACAGGGAATATCTGAGATAATGAGAAAAAGTATGTTGATTATTTCAATTTCTATAGAATATTTTTCATACCTGTACAAGATCTTTTTCTTTTAAGACTTTGAAGGGGTATTTCAGATTTTTTTTTCGAATCTAACAAAACAAAACAAATGATAAATAGAATAAATATAATACAATAGGGAATATCTGAGATGATAAGAAAAAGTATGTTGATTATTTCAATATCTATAGACTGTTTTTCATACCTGTAACTGTCTTTTTTCCTTTATGACTTCGAAGGGGTATTTCGGATTTTTTTTTCGAGTCTGATCGTGCCATTATAAATTGTTCTATCAAGAGATTAATAAATCTAGAACATACATACACAGTTTGATCATGAACATGAAAAATGTTTTGTTATCATTCGACTTGTGATTATGCTAATTGAAAAAGTTTTTCCATTACGTCCATTATACGTATGTATATTATAACAATTGAACTTTTAGGATTTCATTGTAAGGCTATTCTGGCCTTGCTATTCAGTAATTATTAGAAGACTTATCCAACATTCGTAACAACGTACACAAAACATGGAGTGTTAATTCATCACTTTCTACATATGTTTCTGTACTTTTTTATTCATGAATAATATTCATTCACTCATCATTTTAAATGCCAATCTAAACTTGACTTTATCTCATCGCCATAGAAGACAACAGAATGAGAGAGGAAATAAACTGTTTGTATTTACACAAAATAATGACTATATTGCACATAGTGGTGGGAGTAGCACGATCTTGATTTTCTCTCTCTCTGTCACCGTAGTGCAAATAAAAGACTCAGTTATTTCTGCTTTTGTTTAACTATTATTCTTTTATACTTTCTTTCATATTGACATGACAATCCTTGATCATTATACGTACAAAATGTCATTTAGTAATTGAATAGAATATTGTATGAAAAAGGATATTGCATACGCATACAAACTCGTTTGCTTTAACAAGTATCATGGTGAAATGATCAATGAAAGAGATTGTATTGAACAGATTCAAGAACAGCCATTAACAGACAAAAAAATCAATTTGTATGTTCTACAATTATTCCAGAACACTATAAAATATTAATAAGATATAAGAACACTTTGTCTGACGAATTACAAATTTTGAAGTAGAGTGCAGCAAAGCAAGGTGATTAATTCATGCCAATCGTTATGGATTCTTCCTTTAATTTAGATTCGATATGTTCACCGTTTTTTCATTGAGACATATTACACACCGTCAACTTCATCAGAATTCTTTGATGTACAAAGAGTAAATAAAGATCATCGATCTATCAAGTTATATATTAAAATTGATATTATTCTTTTACTCTCTCAGATAACTTACATTTATTCGAAAAAATATTATTACGTAGTCAATTTTAGTAGCAGGCGATTCATATATATATATATATATATATATATATTGACTCAAACACTTGCAACTCTATGTTTATTGACAACCGAAATGTTCTCCTTCGTCAACGTTATACAACCTGCAGTGAAGATGAATAAAAAAAGAGAAGATAAGCATATGTGTAGGTATGTTGTTACTCAGGGAAGAAAAGCAACAGCGACTATTTCTTTTTCATGATAAACTAACTTATTTCTTAGTATTTATTTCTGTGAAATCTTTATACTAGTCTAGTAAGCGTTCATTATCTGTGAGTAGAATTTTCATTTAAGTTAAGTTTAAAAAAAAAATTTTGTAAGCAAAATCAATTTGTAATTGAAATGTTTAAACGTAGCATAATATTGAGACCGGTCAATAATGTACCAACCTGTCGTATTACTCTTCGACATTTTTTTGCGAAATATTATAAAAGAAGAATGACGCCGTACAAGAATTGCACAGTGTAAAAATGATAAAACAGAAAAGAACAAAAATCTATAACTAAAACTTACGCAACTAAAAAATTAGATAACACTTAAACAATAAATTATTTAATCTCTGAAGACAAATAAAAAAGATTTGTTTCTAGTCAATATGTAGACTTGAATTAACATCGATTTCAAAAAGGCAGAAACTATTAGAATAAAATTGTTTTTCTAAATGACTGTTTCCTACCACTTTCTAAGTTGTTCATCTCCCAAAACCCATTGTAAGAAGTTATACAATGTATTACTGTTACTATAACAGAAGGACGGTGAAAAAAATTTCACGTATGAAGAAAATCATAATAATTTCAAAAATTATCTTTATAATTCTGACATATTCTCTATTCCATCACACAACCTAATCTAGGCTTATAATAACGTATTTACTCAATCACATATCAAATACACACTTTTTTCATTTCTCAGAAAAATCTCCCCTTAAAAATTAATAATAATGTCAAACTTTATGGCAATTATCACAAAATATATATGCTTAAATTATAATACAAATCAAAACATAAAACGAAACAAAATCTTGAACATACGCGATTCGGGTCACAAATGCTCAACAATCTTAAATATACTTGTTCTGACATATTGTATAGAGAACACAATGCATACGCAATTCCAGAATATAAACAAAAGTGACTTTTTTCCATCTATCAAACACGATGCATGATGTATCTACTGAGGCAGTCGTGTACGCAGTACAGCAGACTTGGTATTTGTGTCACAAGACAGAATGTCTCTCTGAGGACAGATAGAGTTTACATATAGTATTTGGTATCTTCACAGTATTTTTTATCTAAATAAGCTAAAATATAACAGCGTTTTCATTCTCTGAGAAAATTATTTCTCGATCGTTAAAAAACTTACTTAATAGCGCTGTATATAGATGGTGCTAGCTTCCTTACTCTATAAAATGCCGTTACAGCAAAATAATTAATAGATTAATCAAGGATTTGATGATAAAGCAAAAAGTGTTCTCTTTAAAATTTCTAGACTCAAAAAACTCAGTTAAGGCGAAAGGTTACAATTAAAAATTTTATTGGTGCTTGCCCTCATCCACCAATCATAAAACATTAATGTTCTTTGATAAAACTTTTTTTGAAAAAGCCTTAACATAATCATCGCATAATTTATTTTTAATCAGATATCTAGTATACGACTGAGACTAGCTAGGGGCAGATCACTAGAACCAACGTAATTTGCGCCGCTTTTTCGGTTGATTGCAGTCCTAGTTTATCTGAGCCCTAGTATACTTAGATGATTTAGGATTCAAAGTTATTATTTAAAATAACACTGTTGAATTAAAGAAGTTGAGTCTTTTGTACTATTATTTTCAGATCATGTGGGTTTCATGGACCGTCTTATTACGTCCTCATTTTCATCTTCGAATACCCTCCAGTTCTGCGACAAAATCACCCGTGCTTTTACTAATTCAAAAATTTCGTACTCAGTCATCTCCTATATCAAAAACACTAAATAGACAACGACGAACGATAAAAGATCTTGATCAAACAAAAGTCGTTAAGGTTGAACAAACACAAGAAAAACATTTATTTCGATTGCTCATTAAACCAACTCTCTTCACTGTTGGGGTATAAACAATGAAATATTTCTTTTATCGTAGTCTTCAGTCATACATTTACTATAAAAATAACTGATTCCATTTAAGTTTGTAGGCTGTTCATATGTGACGTGTGCTTTATGGCAATATGAGAGTAAACGACGACAAATACGTAAAGTTAAAGATAATTGGTTAAAAAAAACGATTGATCGTCACAGTAGCAGTATGGTAAATTCAATTGAAAACATTTAGTGTACCGTTTTAGAAAATTGGTCGAATTTTTTTCTTTCTAGTTTGGAAACATTTGGCGAGATATACCAGAATCAAAGCGTTTAGTTGGCAAGATAATTGCGTTAAATGTGATTGTATTTCTTCTATGGCGCAGGAAAAGTTTGGAACCATTTCTTCTCAAATATTTTACATCAAGTCCATTTAAACGTATGCTACTGTAGCATATAAAAGCTTAACTTTGACATGTATATCTGATTTCAGCATATCTCAGTTCAATGATTCTATCAACATTCAGTCATTATAATGCTTTTCATTTATTCTGTAATATGTATGTATTATGGTCGTTTAGTGAACCCGTTGTTCATTTGTTTGGGAAAGAACAATTTGTTGCTACTTTTTTATCTGGAGGTAAGATAAAACCAAAATAGTTTTCGCAATAAATTTTGTCCATTTTTTCTTTTAAGGTATTATTAGTACATTGGCAAGTTATGTATTCAAAATTGTTACCAAAACACCGAATATTTCATTAGGAGCTGTAAGTGATAAAATCTCTTTTAATCTGTCTCTATTCATCTTTTTTGTTCTAGTCTGGCTCATTGATGACAGTATTAGGCGCTGTATGCATGCAATTTCCAACAGCGCAATTATCAATTATATTTCTCCCATTTTTTACATTTTCAGCACAATCTGTAATTAAATTTCAATATTTTCTTTTGTGTAAAATTTTTCAACTTTTTTTTCTGTAGGCATTGATGGGAATGATCTCATTGGATGTTGTTGGTACTGTACTCAGATGGAAATTTCTCGATCATGCAGCACATTTGGGAGGTGTATTATATGGGGTGTACGTATAGTTTTCGATTTTATTTTCTAACAGCAAGAAATCAGATCTTCTATTTTTCTGTCTTGATATCAGTATGATGAGTAGTGTATATAAAATTGTTGGCACTTGTAGTGACGAGAGGCTGTATTTTTATATATATCCACTGGTATAACGTTTTCGCTTTCAGATGGTACGTTAAATATGGTTACAAGATACTATGGGAATCATTAACCCCGTTTATTGAACATTGGCATAATTTGAGAGAAAAACTAAAAAAATCATAAATATGAAATTCATTGTTATCTTCTATTGTATGGAAATAGTTTGTGTCTTTATGCCATTTATAATTTATTATAATTAAAAGGATCCTTTGCTTTATACATGTTTATATAAATCTTTTTGTTAACGTTTTTTTTTCTGAAAAATACAAAAATTATTCACTGTTTTATAGTATAAAATCTTTAAATATACGGTTTTCTTGTCCAACTGTGTAGACATATTTTTTGATATCGTTATCTTCCTGTTTCTTACCTACATTTATCATTAGCCACATTTCATAATATTTGGTATGATGTCTAGAAGTGAATAATCGTAAACATAAAAGTGTTCTATACTTCTGTTTGCGAAGCTTGTCTTGTATGTCGATCTCCTTAAACAAGATAAAGTAAATTACGTTTTTAAAAAGCTATGAGCAGTCATGAGATCATATTAAGCAGTATAAATGTAAGAATAACAGCAACTGTTTTGAAATTCATTTTAATTTTATTTAATTAGAAATCATGTAACGTACAACTTTCATTTTCAAGACCTGTAATCGTAAAACGTTTAAATAACAGAGAAAGGAAAACAGATATAAGTAGTGAGAGAGAAGGCATATACGCTATTCAGAGCGAGTGGTGGACTCACTAGCTCTGACTAGCGTCTAAATATATTAAGCAGTATTTTACCTGCTTCACAAATGATTTGTGTCATATTTCATTTCATAAAAGTACCAAGAGAATACCGTACTAATATTACCGAGTAACTTAAAAAACAACTTTTAAAAATTCTTTTAGAATCAGAAAAAAATTTGGTTTATCGTTTTAAATTTTCTTTCTTTTATATATTAATATAATACATATGGCTTTTTTAGACAAGTTGTATTTTCTTTATTTAAGTACAAAAACGCTAATAAATGGTATCATTTTTCAATTGTTCATCAGTGGTAGGTAACGATGTCATAATGTCTATTATGCTGTATAGATAACAAATATCGATATTTCAGGTGAAATATAAAGGATAAGCTATCGTTTTTTTTTCGTTCTTATTTTGTTCTCTTTTTACAATACGGCAACAGCCGACTATTTTTCTTTTCAATGAAGAAAAACTGCTGCGCTGATCGAATGTACTCAGACATTAAGTTTTTTAAATTCACATTTAAAATAAGTAACTACAATATGTCTAAAAGAAAGCCACGATAGTTGAACGGTGACGACTTATCTTTCAGCTATTTCCTCTAGAAATTAAATTATTTGATTAAATACCTTCTTTCTTATAATAATTTATATTCCTTGACAATAAACGTATAAAATCCTGTTTTTTTATTTTGGAATAATTGCACGTAGTTTTTATCTACTACTTTTCTTAAAAAGTAATTGAATAGAAAAAAGCTGAGAAATGTACAATGTATGCACAAATTGCCTATCATACTTACTTTTGACCTCAAATATATGTTTAGACATTTTCAATTTTATTCTCTTTTATCTATTTGTTGTCTTATTGTTACTTAAAAATACAGAATCGTACCGTTGTATTAGTTTTGGTCAGTCTGTTTGGTTTGCGCTTATCTACGTTTTTTTTTTGTTATTAGTACCATCTTGAAGAGAAATAAAAAAAAAATGGGAACAATGAATGAAGGATGATGTAACCTATTCTCATTCGATGTATTCTATTCGTTTTTCTTCTGAATGATTACAAAGTCTATTTATATAATAAATTCAAACGTAATTTGTAGATTTTCACATAAAAAAATAGATTATTTATATCTTAGACTTTAAAAATGTTTAATTGATTGAAGATTAAGTAATGAGTGGTGGTACGTTAGAAGAGAATCCTGGTTTGGCTCCAGATGGTGGATGGGGCTGGATTATTGTATTTTGTTCATTTATGATACATTTTATTATGGATGGTATTACTTATGCCATGGGTGACGTATATATGCAGCCAATGAAAGAAAGATTAAATTTAGGCCGTGAATACATATCTGCTATTTTTAGTATATTGCCGGCAATAACATTGTTCGTAGGTAAACAAGTGTTCAACCACAAGTTATTTGTTTCATTATCGATAAATTTTTAATATAGGACCAATAGCAACTATTTTTACAAATCGTTTTGGTTGTCGAATGATAACTGTTATTGGTGCATTTATTGCTGCATTTGGATTTTTTCTTAGCTTTTGGATTGCAAGTATATGGTGGTATTATATTACAATCGGAATTATTGGAGGTAAGTGTAGAAGATATTTGAATAGATTATTTTTTATTTCATCTGTGTTTAACAGGTTTTGGATTTGGTATGATATATTTACCAGCTATTGTCAGTGTTGGATATTATTTTGAAAAGAAACGTGCAACAGCTATGGGAATAGCTGTATGTGGTTCAGGTGTTGGTACAATGGTATTTCCATTTTTAATGCCTTACATAACGGGTTGGCCAGTATATTTTGGATATGAAGGTGGATTACTTATACAATCGAGTATCATATTTATGTGTATTTTATTCGGTTTATTAATGATTCCATTACCACACGAGCCAAGCGAAATATTACGTCTAAAAAAAAAATCATTAAGTGGAAATAATAAGAATTATGAGCTAGTGAATATCAACGAACATAATCATTTACAACCAATTCTAGAAGTACCAGAAAGGTAATTATTGTCAAAAAATTTTATTAATTTGTTAAAAAAACTATTTGCATTTTAAAAATGTGTTTTTTTTCTCCTGTAGATTGTCCAGTCAAGATGCAGGTGTCGTTCCAATTCGACCTATTGAATCGGCGACTAACAACTATGAGGAAACGTCAACTCCACGTGGAATGATCCAGTCAAATCCTAAACGAAATTCTTCTATGCCGTTATTGCTTGTCAATGGTGATGACAGTGTTCAACCATTTCTTAATAATAAACAAAAGCCGTGGACAAGATCGTTACACCACCTTACGACACAATCGTCTGATCATCACCATCCAGTACTATCATTCAAACAGTTTCCACGCAAAGATGTTCTCTATATGGGAAGTTTAAAAAATATTCCTATGTTTGTGAAACAACCAGATGAATATCATCGACAAATTATTGTTGATACACAGCAATCATCTGACGAAGATCCTGTTACATTATCGACAACTACAGCGAAAAAAACAGAGTCTATTTGGACACGTTTTATTGATTTATCATTATTAGGAAATATCGTATTTTCTATATTTGCTGTATCAAATTTTTTAACAAGTCTTGGTTTCAATGTACCATATACGTTTGCTGGTGATTTAGCAATGGATTTACACGTGCCTGAAAGTCAAAAACATTATATTGTCATGTCAATGGGTATTGGAAATACAATTGGAAGAATTGTTATTGGCTTTCTGGCTGATAAAAAGGTAAACAAAGTATATTACTGGTAGTTTTTGGAATATAAGAATATCATTTATCTGTTTAGATCAATCGTTTAGCCTTGTATAACATTACATTGATTATTGCCGGTATTGCGACAATGGTGGCACCATTAGCAGGACCTTATTTAGCCCTTCATATAGGCTATGCCTCTGTATTTGGTTTTTTCTCCGGTTTGTTAGACATGTTTTTTAGACACTTATCTTTCTAGAATCAATCTTTCGTTTTTTGTTTAGGGGGTTATGTTGGTTTAACGTCTATAATTGTTGTTGATCTGGTTGGTTTAGAGAAGCTCTCAGACGCATTCGGTGTATTATTGTTGTTTCAAGGTGTTGCTGTTGCCATCGGCTCACCGATAGTCGGTATGTTTTACATAAAATCATTTCTAATATGTTTTGAATTATAATATAATTCTTTGTACTTTAACAGGCGCATTGCGTGAATTACTTGGGAATTACAAGATCCCCTATTTATTATTCGGTCTATTTATAACGGTTAGTGGTGCCATGCTATTTTCAATTCCACCTTTGATGAAACGTCGGCAGAAATCAAAACATAAAGTGACACAACATGATCTCGATATGGGTGTGGTAGTTTATTCAGAACAAAATTTGACACAAACGACATGATAGCTCAATTATTTCTTTACTTTTCTCGTTTTTTCCTAAAAATAAAACAGTGAAAATACAAGTAGTTTTAGCTTTTAAAAAATGAAAATCTGTTATATATTTTGCTCAACTTGCATCGCACGTATGTTCTCGAGTTTTTATCTTTTTCTTTTTTTCAATAATATATTCTTTTCTTTCTCTAAGTCACATTGGTTGATACTACTCCGTTTCTTTTTTTGTTTAAATGGTTTAATCTCTTTTTACTTTTATCATGATGAAGCAGAATGAACAGTAATATACTGCTAGTTTTATTTTTTATGTTCTACAATAGGTGATAATTACACTCACAAAGAGCTAAATAATGTCAGGGGCTTTTCCTATAGCTAAATAACCAGTCCACTATAGTATAGTGGGCTGATATAGTATTTGATGTTTAAAATTTGACAATTAATAAACTAATTTTATGTTTTCTTGTGTTTTCACACTACACTTCTGTATGATTAAATACTATAAGATATCTCTTGCTGAGCATTGTCCTCCTCTTCTTTGTATAACCTTTATTCAGTATTATTTTGGATTTTTCTTTTTTTAATTTTTACTGTCCAGCAATAACAGTGATAGATGTATTATTAGTTCTTGTTACATAGTATCCTTGAAAGTGCCTTATATATTATTTTCAATGTTTTTTTAATATTAGAGTTTTTTTTTCAAAGTCAACATGTCGAACAGTTTCAAGCGATTATAAATAATTAAAAAGAAAATACATACATTAAAATTATTTACCATTCTCATTTCATTTCCCAATGATGAAGTATGATATAGCTTGAACTTTTTCAGAAGGAAAAGAATAATATATTAATGATTTCTGGCACGAAGACACATTCGCTTTTCCAGTTATTCAGAAGTGGTAACCAATCTATGTAAAGGTGAAGGTGAAGGTGAGGATGTTCATCCAACAGTTTATTGCACTAAACTCGACTTGTTCCCCTTACATCCTTGACATGAACACGAGTTCCGATATTTTAATCAGTTTTTGCATATATTTTGTCTACACTTGAGATAATTTGTTTGTGGGCTTTCTTTCTTTTTCCCCGCTCGTTTTCGTTATTTTTTCCGTTATCTACCTTGATACATATGTATCTTTTTCAATATATATATATATATGTATATATATATTTACTTGTGTTTTTTTCTTGTTTCTATCATTTATAACCTGAAGAAAAAGAAAAAACAAATAAATTCTGAAATTTTTTTTATTATTCATCGATAATAATGTTTTTGAATGATAAACACAACGCATGCACACATACTTTCGCTATTAACGAAATCAAAAACATTTTTATCCCTGAAAAGTTTGTTTCTTTGTGGATAACTTGTAGGGTAGTTTTTTAGCTGGTTTTAAATTTCTGCATTGATTACCAAAACAAATATTGGCAAATCATGAATAAGAGTCTTTAAACTGATATTGATTGGATATAGTTTTAGAATACCAGCTATTTTGCTCTGATCACCATGCCTCCACCACCTCCGCCGCCGCCACCGCCACCACCACCACCCATGCCGCCGCTAGGTGGATTACCACCGGCTGCTTCACAGGCAAACCGAAGCGACCTGCTTGATGAAATTGGTTCATTTAGTAAAGGAATTTTAAAAAAAGCAAAAACAAATGATCGAAGTTCACCACTGATCGGTAATAAAACTAATAGTTCGCATACGAACGATTCTTCTGCGAATGATCCGTTAATTCGTATGCCCATCAGACCACCATTAGTATTGTCACCATTAAAAGTAAATTTACGTCCAACCATAATGAATAACCCAGTGCAGCTACCAGCCACCAGAGCGCCGGTATCACAGCCATTTGTTCCACCCCCAATACCATCGGTACCGCCATTAAGTTCACCGGATTTACAACAACCAGCAAATGTTCGACAAACCGAAAATTTTCAATCTAATAATGGTAACCACACGTGATGATAAACACTTTTTCATCATTTTTGTTATTAGTTGCTCTGCTTATTTAGAAACAAGAAATTTTATTCCCGCACAAAATCCTCCTCGATTACCTCCACGCGAGCCATCACGCGAAGTCCAGTTACAACCAGAGAAAACGATGGGGCAATTCGCGAACAGTGGGAGTACATGTATGTTTTTCACCGTGTATACTTGACTCTGTAATTGATACTATTTTTGTATATTTTAGTACAAAAACGTGCACTTCCTCCTCCACCGCCACCACCTCCTCCTCCCCCACCTTCAGTTTCTGCTCAAACAATGGCAGTAAAAGTGAACAATAATCATACAGTTCGGTTAGATCCACAAATCGTTGAAAAATTTCATTCAACAATCAACAATTTACCTGTTAATAATAATCAACCAGTTCAAGTACAGAGAAATATCGCACCACCGCCACCACCGAGGCAGATTAATATCCCAATTCGTCCTCTACCATCAGAATTAGTTGATTCATCAAATTCTTCATCAAATATTAATAATTCTCAAACGGTTCTATACGATATTGAATTCGAAAAGAAGTATGATTGGTATAATATTGACAATCTTCCGCCACCTGATCGTTATAATCTACCACAAAAATCACATAAACATATAAACCCACGTTGAAAATCTATTTTGTTAAGTAAATATAGAGTATAAACCTGCTACAACATGCATACTTTATGTCTTTTATTTTCATTGAATCCTTTTTGTAAAGGGAAAAAATATATTTTTTTAATGTAACATATTTCTTGAGTACAATCTCATTTGATGGAGAGAAAGTTTTTGAATAATTTTCTAATTCATCCAACGAATATGTTAGATTCAATTCAGTTCATATCTATAGTACGATAAAGTAAAGAAGATGGGCTTTTTTGCCGGGTGTTGTTGAGAATTTGTTGTTGGTTGTGATTGTTGTCTCTGAATAATTTCATTCACTATCACTTTCGCTTCTCTAATAGTTCTTCTCATGAAATGTTCAGGATATCCATTCAACATCGTTTCTCTTAACTGTAACATTTCAATTTTCAAATATTCAGATATAAAATAAATGAGAAGAATTCTAATTACTAAAGATCAAATTAGTCCTATTTTATATTTAAGACATTGTTTACTCTCATATAATAAATAAAGATTAGTATTCGGCGGTTTTCGGTATATAGTCGTTTGATGTTTATTATTTGTTATATTTCTAATTATCAGTACATCTAGAAAGGCTAATTTTTCGTTAGTTTCTATTTCAAGTGTGAATGTGATGTTTGGATGCCATTCGTTAATTCGTTGAAAAAATTCATTGATGTTTTGAGTACTTTTGAAAATGCAAAAGGCATCATTAACATAATAAATCCATACTATTGGCTTATTAGTTGAAAATTTATTTAATTTTAATTCCAATTTTGACGTGAAAATATCAGCAAGTATTGATCCAAGTGATGAATCCATGGGTACAACATCATATTGTATATAATTAACGCCCATGAATTGAAATGGTACGTTATAAACTGCTAGTTCAAGTAATTGTTTCCTTTTTCCACGCTTAAATACAGTATTAGGTGACTGAGACGATTTCAAGAGCATATCTAGAACTATTTCAATTGCTTCTTTGACAGACACATTCGTGTAAAGAGAATCAGCTTGATTTTTACTAGTCGTTAATCCAATTATCGGTTTTACAAATTGAAGCGAATCCTTTACAAATGAACGTGACTGACAAAGGCGATTTTAAAATGTCCGCTAAGTATTATGATAGTTCATGGTTATAAGAGCCATTTGAAAAGATAATAGGATGAAGAGGATAGCCAAGTTTGTGGACTTTCGATTGTCCATACGTAATAGCTAAAAAAAGCACTTGTTGAATGAAGTTGATAGAATAATTGTTGATCAATTACCTTTCCTTCATACAATTTTCGAATGTAACCATTCATTTCAGCCTCTTTTTATTCCATCAGACTACTAGATGTTCGTTCGCTAAAAGTGTTACATTTTGGGGATTTGTTCAACATAGTTCTTTTTATCTATTATAACAATAGCATTCCGTTTATCTGCGCGACATATGACTATATTCTTGTTACTTATTTTCAATGATTTTAGAATATCAGATTCCTCGTCACTCACATTTGTAATCTTTTTTCGTTTTAGTGTTCTCATTAGTTGTTGTGAATAATCATGGATGTTATGGCATATTGTAGAGAATACGCTTGTATGACAATTCTTTTCAAGTTTGGAGATGTTCAACTCGATATCAGTTTTAAAATCAATAAAATTTTTAATTTTATTTTTAATAGAAAACTCTCAGCCTCTACATAATAACCTTTCCTCTGCTGGCGTCAATGTGTGAGAGAATATATTATGAACAATTTTATTTCTTAATAATTCATAATTGTGACCTAATGAGTCATTATTTAAACGTACTAATTTCTTATTATGAATTTAATCACTTTCTTTTATTCTTTCTTAGTTTTCTTATACATGCATTTATTGAATCTTAATATAATCAGCAGAAAAAACCGATTGTTTAAGATTTTTCGTTAAACTTTTTAAGGATTCATTATGTTTACAAGCATTGTTATGTCGATTACCGTATTCTTGTTACAGACAATAACGTTTAAACGTTAGATATTGTTGTTGACATTTAATTTGTTTTTTTCATAGAATTATTTTTACGAAAGTCGGTGTTGAACCATAACGTAAGAATTCTAGATCGCATTTACATTTTTGAAGTCTAATAGTCAAATTTTCAATTTGTCTAATTGTTAGAAAAATGACGTCTCCATTCTTGGAGTGAGTTAAAGATAAAAATTCAATAGGAAGAGCAATATAAAATAAATAAGTAACTATAGAAGTATAAAACTGTTACAAAATACATACTTTAGATTTATTCGAAATCTAAAATATTTATTTTGATAATTTTCGAGCTTTCGATCACTGATATCATCATCATCAGGAAAACATATGAAATTAAAAAATTTTTCAATTTTTCGTCTCATATGTTTTCCTGATATGTTCATCGTACACTTGCATGTTAAGTTTATGATCTTTCTCTTTTATTCCATATTTAAAACAATCAAGTTTATTTCTGAACTCTCTTCCATTTTTATTGTGTAAATATCTTTTTTATTTTGTTAAATAACCTGTGCTTATACGAATATCTTATGCTGTTTCTTCTTTCTATTAGATGAGATAGTTCTACGAAACGAAAGTAATTTCCACGTTTGATTATTTCACATTTGATCTCAATGAAATAATAATTAACGATTCTAATTCTGCGTTATTATTTATGATGCGTTTTTATTTTTTATTTTTCTCATATAATAACAGTATTTTATTTTTTTATATTATTGTTTATTTTGTTGTATTTTTGTCTTTTATAATTTTCATTACATAAAAATATGTTCATACATCTATACAAAAGAAAATTTAGCATATTTTTTAAAAAATATCATGGATTTTTTATCAAATTACTGAAAGAAAGTTGATATATATCTGCATATAAATGAGAGTCAGTATGTGAACAGAAATTTGACAGTAGTTTAATTAAAAACTTATATTGTTGAATACAAAACGTTTTGTGCATAAATACCGTTATGTGTCGGAATTTATCAAGATAGGTTCTAGTGGTGATAGTTTCTATAGATTTGAATAGAGGATAAAAAATCTAGATTTCGTATTCATCGATAATATTCAAATCTAGAATTCATTTTTTGCATAGTCGATAATTTTTATTTTTTCATGGTATTTTCGATGTTTACTAACATATGATTTGATTCCTTTAGGATTTAAAAGATCCTCTACTTAACAACTAATATTGTCGTTTACAAAACTTTAATTATAAAAACAACTATATTCAAAAGTCTACTTTATTATTTAATTTAGCTTCTAGATAATTATTTAAGACATAGATGGCGAGTGAACTTAATCAAAATCAATTACAATTGGCAGGTGATCTTGAGATAGAAATGATGACTGATTTATATAAAAAGTAATTTACAATAAAACTGTGAATAAGTTGATAACTAATCGTACAATATGTGTGTGTGTGTGTTTTTCTTCTTCTTCTTAGGATGACGAATTCTTGTCATAAAAAATGTGTAATACCAAGATATAAAGATGCTGAATTAACAAAAGCTGAAAGTGTTTGTATTGATCGTTGTGTGGCAAAATATATGGATGTAAGCCAACAGTTTTGCTAGTTTAACAGTAAATATATGATTAAAGTTGTTTTTTTTAGGTACATGATCGCATTGGAAAACAATTGGCATCAATGACAGTTCAACAGCAATCTGGAGTAGATGTTGATCCTTCAAAAATTGTTGGCTCTTACTAATAAACTATCTTATATTTCTCTACTTGTTATTTTTTTGTATGATTATTATTCATACTAGATTTTTCCCGTCTCTTGTTTGACTGAACTCTCGCGTGATTTTATATACGTGTGTTTTGTTAAACGAATTAAAGATACTAGTAAATCAAGTTTCTAACATCAGTTTAAAGCTATGATGTAAAACTTTAGAACAACTTGCTAGCCTAAGGTTATAACTTCGAGTTCTTATTTCTGTAAAACTGATTTTGATACTTCGACAATGTGAGATTGGTAATACTACAATTGATTTATCTTCGTTTGTGCTCTGCAAGAATGCAACTTAAATCAAACACTGTTGTTTAGCCATCGGTTTGATGCATCAGACATTCTTACATAAGTTATAAAATAAGCATTACGTGTTTTCAGTACTCTGAAAGTACGTTATCTAGTCGGATATATTATCTTGTTTTGACACAATTTGGTTCAGAATAAATTCTAATTTTTAGAATTCTAATTATTGAAAAATTTTCCTTTCCTGAAAAAACGAATAAACTTTGCTTTTTGTAAATATCTTCAATTTTTTGGGAGCTCCTTGAATACAATCTTTTGATATTCATAATCATAATTGATCTGAAATATTCGGTACTCACACTCAAGAATTCTATCTCTGCATTTTTTCTTAAATGTAAAACACTTGCGGCAATTGACAGAATTCTGTTTTGGATACAACGAATCAGATGATGTTTGAAAGTTTAAGTTTTATTGTTAAATGAATCATCATTTGAACAATGTGCACGATGACAACTGGCATGAATCATACCTGCATCGAGATTTCAATGACATAGAGGAACTGATTGATAGTGATTAAAAACGACGATTTTCTATTTCCGAAGAAATTACCAGTGAAGTCTTTCTCTTTTTTCCATCGAAAAACTGGCAGAAATGCAAATGAGATTGTATGCGTAGCGGTATACACATGCAATAAGAATTGAAGATGACGCGACGTGAATAGTTCAAACGTACTGGAAGGAAAATTAGAAACGTAAGACCACATCATAAAGTAGCATTCAGAGAAATCGTTTCGAATCGATTATAAAATATCTCTTAGATCTGTCGAATGTCTCATTTTGTAGAGAAATGTTTTGCTCTACAAAACTGAAACGTTAGAAAAGTTTTAATATTATTTCTAATAGAAATAGAGTCATTCAAAAATGTGCAAAATCGCGAAAAAATATTTCAATCGCTCATCGATCATTCTTTTGTGGTTTTGGTACATTTTCGATTTATTATGTTTTATCTACATATAACATTAAAGCTTTTCTAACGTTTCAGTTTTGTAGAGCAAACATTTCTCTACAAAATGAGACATTCGGTAGGTCTAAGAGATACTTCAATCTATCTTTAATCTTTATATAATCGATTCGAAACGATTTCTCTCAATGCCCTAACGTCGATTATTAATCGATGCTTACCTAGAAGGGACTCAATGATCATCCATATAATAAATTAGTCAAATGAACTAGTTTTTAATGAAGAAAAATTAGGATAAAAGTAAAAATATTATTTAATGACATTGATTTGTGGACGTATGTCTGTATATCAACATGCAAAACGATTAGCTACCACTACGGTTACACTACGCAGATAATCACGATTATCTTTCACGATTATCTTTAATCGTGATTGTTAATCGTGATTAAACTAGTAGTGTAACCGCTACTTTAATCACGATTGTTTTGAAAAGCATGAGTAAAGATAATCATGTTCGGAAGATGATTATCTTTAATCGCGATTAACTTTAATCACGATTAACTTTAATCACCTCTATCAAAAAAAGGATCATGATAGCGGCGCTTGCATATGACTGCTCAACTGCAATAACTAATCAGCCTGAACTCTGTTTTGCCTACTAAAGAATTTTTCTGGCATTACTATGCTCTGTTACAGATCGATAAATAAATAATTAATAATAATTTTATAATAATAACTTTTTTTTGTTAAAAATGACTACGCAGAGTTAAAAGAATAAAACGAAGGCAAAAAGATCTTGGTGGTCTGATGACGAAACAAACTTGTTGCTAAGTTTGTTAAAAGATGAAATGGTATCGAATGAAATAGCATATCATCGGAATTGTGGCACCCGATAAAAAGTACAAGAAGGTTTATTAGTAGCCGGTGTCAACAGATCTATTGATCAGATTAAAGAGTGTTACTGTATTCATGTTAATTTTGCTACACAAAAATGAGTTTTCTCCTGCGCACTGAGTATCTATAGTTATGGCTGTCACGAGTTAAATCACGATTATCTTTTTAATCGTGATTAGTGCGGTTACACACAATTCTGTTCATCGTGATTAAATATCGTTAATCATGATCCAAAAAAATTGCGGTCACACTAGAAAATGTTTAATCGCGATTATCTTTTAATTACGATTAAAGATAATCATGATTATTTTCGTAGGGTAACCGTAGTGTAAGAATAAGCGTTGTAGACTATCATAGTGTTCATATTTTTCATTCAATGATTTCAATCCTGTATTGGTAATCTTTTTCTTCATCCGATTGTAAACTGAATTTGGCATTAACGTCCGATCCATCTCGTATAAACTTTGAAGTTTTATCTTCTAGTGTAAATTGTAATGAATAAAATTTTTGTGTATATTCAACTTTAATCGGACGTTTTTTAAAATTTTTTAGTTTTAAATTAATTTCATATGAAGACCGGTTGCTATAATAACGTTGTTCCATTGCCTTATCCGTTGAGAGTAATGTAACATTTTCTTTATAGACAATATCCGGATCTGTTCCAATTGAAAATTCATAGCTATCATTGGCTGCGATGTCTGGCCATGTTGACTCACCGACAAGACGATCAGATTCTCGAAGAATTACGCTACCTTTTGCTAAAAATTGATTACTACGTAAACGATAGCTTCGTTGTGCTTTGCCACGTGTACGTGTATTAAATTTGTCGAATGCTTTCGATATTGATGCATAACGTTCAACCTGAACAATTGGTTGTAACATCGGTAGTACATAATTTGTCTTTGATTCAATAGTAAATGGTTTATCAATATTGAATACATAAACACCAGCTAATTCTTCTGCTGATGAAATAGAGGGTGCGAAAGTACTCGCCGCCGCTAAATTAACAGTCAATGATGCTGCGGGATTACGATTATACTCAGTGGAGTATTGTTGTTGTGGTGAATTTAGTCGTATATTAACATCACCACCAAACAGCTCAGCTGATTCGATAACCACAGAGTCGACACCATTATTTCTGATATCAGCATAACCAATCAGTACTGTTTTTTGTTGTTTTTCACCATCATTGTACAACATCAAATTATATCGTGTTTTCCAGTTTAAATTAGAACGCAAATAACTGATATAAAATTGACCATCAGTATTATTCAATGAAACATACGTAAATGAGACGATATATTTATCCGTTGGTGGCATCTTGCCGTATTCAATTCGATCATTGGTTACCGTGTAATATCTTGAATTAAGTGTTAAATCTTGAACAAGATTTCTTTTTTCATCAATCATAATTGCTGGCACTGTTGTTATTGATTGATCTGTTGTTGATTGACGTATATAAATTCTTTCACCATTTAAAGAACCTTTCTTTTCGGTTATTGTTTGAGATGTAACAACGATATTGTTACCAAATAATGTAATGGTATCTGAGCGAATATCACTCCATTCTCCAGAAGAAAATTCAATTGGTAATTGATCGTCACTGACTTGACGAATAATTTCAGCAAAATTTGAATATATTTTTACGATAGATAATGTCGTTCCATTTTGTTCGCCATGTGCTAGAAATAAACATGCTAATATTGGAATAATACGCATTGTCAAAATCTTACGTAGTATCTCTGTATGTATGATTTTTTGCACAAAACGGTTATATCAATAAATAATACTGATTAAATAGTCAAAGAAAAAAGGGGGTGTGCTCTTTTTCTTCCCCTGTATAATTGATCAATCAGAAACCCGAGGAATCTATTTCAATAGAAACAAATATTATAAAAAAAATTGTTTTGTTCATTTCTACGCGGTATTTTTTCGTTTTAATACAATAAGAAAAACTTATTTACAACACAAGGAAGGACTTGTTTTTTTATGATACAATTGGACTCGTTCTATTCCGCTTGGAAGACATGTTCTCCGTTTTCTTCATATTTCGTGGGCTATTAGTAGTAGCAGTACTAGTAGTATTTATTCACGAAGAGTGGGAGTCATCAAAGGTCCCCGACGTATATTAATAATGACTCGAGCCAAACAATAACTACAAAAAAATAGAAGTAAATTAATACTGTACGAAACAGGGAGATAAGAAAAAAAAGAAGAATAAAAAACAAAATAAAGAGTAACAACACTGAGTTTGTTTTATGTTACCTAATCGAAAAATTTTAAAAGCTTCTTCGGTCAAAACCGATTGCAGATTTATCTTGTCCATAGTCGATTATCTTGTACACGATAACTTTTGGATCGCAGTACTTCCGAGACATTTTTCGACGTCGTTTGCCTCTGGTCCAACCGATTCTAGTCAAAGGAATTTTTAAAGTTTTTCAATTTAACGATATACTTCGGCTCACTGAATATGAGGTGTATTTGTGTCACTGTAGCAACTACGCTGAAATATCAGTCCATAGACCAGACGGTCATTTTTGGCAGATACTCACTAACAACGACTTTTATGCGTATTAAAAATTGCGCTGAGCTTGATCGATGAATGCAATTAAATCGAAAGATGTCGCCTATATGCGACCATAATGGTTATCTGCATTTCAGTGTTGTAAGCAGTGCGTTTATTTCATTTGTCATAAGTATTTAAAGGTTAATTGCTAATCATTACGATTAATCTTTTTTTTGAATACCTTTGACACAAAGAAAGAATCAAGCATAAATATATATATTTCATTTACAATACCGTTACTAATATTGTGACGGACTTGTTTCCTGAAGACTGATACGTTTGAAAAATGGTTTTTTATATTGCAAGGCTTGAGATGTACCTAGATTACGTCACTGGGTTAAATAGACAAAATGAAGAAACGTTTTTTATTTCTCTATAATAATGATCAGAGCTTCATATCTTAGTTGAACAACTTATATATTCAAATAGTACACTCGTCGTAGACAAGAAACTTTAGATGAACTTTTTATAGCTTTGATCTATAAAGAGAGCTGATTTTCATTAAAATCGTTAAAGAAGAGTAGAAATAAATTTATGCTCAAGAAATTTTTTAGCCTAGCAGGTAACGAGTTAACAGCATACTTCTAGTTATTTCTCTTGTACATAAATATGTCGAAAATTAATTATTGTTTTGGTGTTGTAGATTTGTAATTCCATTTTGCGATGAAAGATTCTACTCGTCCCGTCGACAATATGTTGAAATCTCAGGTAGTGGTTGTGGGTTATTTTATTGGAGTAGAAAATGATTTATTTTTCTCTTAGAATCCATCTATTCGAACATTTGAACTAAAAGAAGAATGCGGTATAAACAATTTACCGAATCAAGTGATGGCCAAAGCCATTTCAGATGGTTTTGTATTTAATATATTATGTGTTGGTAGGTTGTCTCATCTCTCACGAAGTTTGTACTTGTGATCTTTTGTTTGTTTTTTCTCACTTAGGCGAAACAGCATGTGGAAAATCATCATTGTTAGATAGTTTATTCAATACTCGTTTGGATTCAACTCCGTCTACACATGATATTCCACGTGTATTTTTAAGAAAGAACACATATGATTTGTTTGAACGTGAAATACGTTTAAAATTAACAATCGTAGAAACAGCCGGATTCGGTGATCAAATAAATAAAGATGATTCATTTAAAGTTATTGGCGATTTCATTGATTCACAATTTCAATCGTATTTAGATGAAGAATTAAAGATAAAACGAAATATTTCAAATTATCATGATACACGTATACATGTTTGTCTATATTTCATCAATCCAACTGGTCATTCGCTTAAAGCTTTGGATTTAGGTATGAAGCTGTCACGAATGAGATAATTTTTTTTTTTTTATTAAACTATTTTTATTGTTTTAGTTACTATGAAACATTTGGATAACAAAGTAAATATTATACCAATAATAGCGAAAGCCGATACAATATCAAAAACTGAATTACAACGTTTTAAACAAAATATTCTCAATGAACTAAATACAGCTGGTGTCAAAATTTATCGTTTTCCAACAGATGATGAAACATTAGCCGAAGAAAATTTAAAAGCAAACGTATGCATTGCAGTTTTTAACTGTTTAAAAAAGAGTAAAATGCTAAAGGGAAATCATGTCATACAACAAAACTAAAGTCCAGTGAAAGACAACTTCCAGATCGAGTTGATAGCAGTAATTCATTTCGATTGTCTATTTATTCTTTAGAATTTATTACCGATGGCTGTCGTCGGTAGTAATGAGTCAGTTAAGGTTGGTAATCAATATGTTCGTGCACGACAATATCCATGGGGTGTTGTTCAAGGTAGATGTTTTGATATCTTTCTCTGGCTATGTATCTTGTATCGATGTTTATTTTTCCTTTTCTAGTTGAAAATGAAAATCATTGTGATTTTAAAAAATTACGTGATTCATTAATAGAAAAAAATATGTTAGATTTAATTGAAACAACACATTCAAAACATTATGAAATGTTTCGTCGTTTACGTTTGACCGATTTAGGTATTGCTGATAATATTGATGGAAAAAATATGAGTATATCGGATACATTGGATTTGAAACGAAATGAATTGAAAAATGAATTGGAACAACGTGAAGCACAACTGAAAGAAGCATTCATTCAAAAAGTGAAAGATAAAGAGTTGGATTTAAAAGAAACAGAAAAACAAGTACGTTGATATTCTTATGAAAACAAGTTCAGGATATTTAAATGTGAAAGATCTTTAAGTTACATCAATTAGATTTTTGGTGCATTCTATTGAAATGTTAGCATTCAGTGTGCGGTTCGACAGAAGTACTGAAACGATATATAAAAATTATCTGGAAAATTTTGTATTGAATGAAATCAAAGAATAATGTAATGCAATATCATGTGGTCATTCCACTATTTTTTAGATTCATGATCAATTGACAAATATTAAAAAGCAATATAAAGATCAAAAAGATAAATTAGACGAAAAATGGCGTGTGTTAGATCAAGAAATCGCATATTTTGAGCAACGTAAACGTGCTACGAATATGGAAACAATGAAAAAAGGCACAAAAAAGAAGTAGAAAACTGTTGCTGCTATTGCCGTCAAGAACAGAACTTGAATCCATTCGTTTTGCACTTATAAATGATTAATTTTAAGTAGTTTATTGTTATAATATACACACGTACACATCTCACTTTATCTCTCATAGCTCACCATTTGTTCTCAAAATTTGGTGCTTATTCTGTTTATTTATTGCAATATATATATATATGTCTTTTTTTCCGTCGTGTGCTCAGGTTCTCCTCCAGAATGATCTCATTGTCTCATATGTTTTTCTATTCCGAGAACAAATGTCAGATATAAAAAAGGCGAATGATAATAAACTCACTTTTTTGCTACTATTGTTATTTTTAGAAATCTATGTCTAATCAAAATATCGTTCTTCTTTTCTTGCTTTGCACCTGTAACATTTTTGAATTAATTTTTTTTTCAAAAAAAACTTTATCAATTTGTATACACTTTTTTTGATTAAATTAAGAATAAACTAAGTAAACTGGGAACCGTTTTTTTGACAAGTCTCTCGATACACAAACGAAAATTGATCATTCATAGGACAATTGAAAGGGAGAAGTTTGTTCTAGTCAACATTTTCCAGAGAAATTCATAGAAATTTCCAAAAAAAGTCTGTAAAAAACTTTCTGAAAACTCTCTGTTTTCAATGAAGTCTCTAAGAACTTCCTATTTTTCAGAAAGTAGCTAGAATGAGTCAAACTCTTACACTCTCATTTACTATTTTATTTTGTTATTGTACATACTACATAAAAATTACCAATTTTTCATTAGTATTTTTCTAGTCTTTCTCTCACTTTTGAGTGATTGTTAAAGAATCAATTTCACTGCTGACTGATGATCAAAGGTTATCAAGATAATAGAATGTAGTAATTAATGTAAAACGGCAAATGGTACAGTCTCCCAAGTGAGTTTTATCTGGGACATTTCTGATGATTCCCAACTGAGTAACCTTTACGTTTTTTTTATTCATTTTTTTCTTTGATTTCGATTGATTTTGCAGAAAGCGAACAGTAAGGTTCAAGAAATTCGTGTATCTATTTTTGCTCTATAACAAAGAGAAATATCAAATTTCGTCATCGAAACACATTGTCTTACTCTAGTCATGTAAAGAATTGTACGAATGTAAGTAATAAATCTCTATTTTAGACCTTGACCTTTGTACTCGACGAGTAAAGAAGCTTTCAGTAATGTTAAGCTATTTTGTGATGATTTTGTTTTGAAAGTCATTTTTTTATCACTCTTAAAAATCACGAAGGTTGTACAGTACCTTAACTTCTACCTTAAAATCCTTGAAAAACATTCAAATTTTTAAAAACATGAATTCTAGTATTTGTTGATAACGAACTGTACTGAAGGCGTATTTCAAACGTTGATATCATTTACATAAAGGAGATAATGATTCTGTTCCATCTCAACTAGAAACTGCTCATATCATCTGCTCTACGGAAGTAGAAGACTATCAATGTTAAATAATAGTAGAATCACTGTTAATTCTAGGAAAAAGTAGTTGAAAAATTGTCCATTTTTATATTCTTATTGTCAAATTTTTTCCTCTCTTCGAGTCATGTGGATTGGACTGAAACGAATAATCATAACTAAAAGGATTTATGTGTAGGAAAAATAAAACCCTGATTAATACAACAACAATTCATATTCCCACTGAATAGTATGGCCTTAGAAGGCGATCTAATGTATGCATACCATTAATGTGCAATTGTGTGTATTTATCTAAAGATTTCTAATGATGAGCTTTTGTCAAATAGAATATGAACACAAAAGAAACCCCCATCATCGACGATTACGATATAATTATTGCATAAAAAAAAAAAAAAAACTACTTTCAAGTGTACATATAAACACAAAAGTGTTACTATTAAACTATAATCGTTTATTTTTATTTTATCCAATTTTTTTATCACAAAACTTTAGACTTCTCGCAGTGCACTGAACAGGTAATTCAAATTCTTTTGTATATAGTTTCGAAATTTAACAGAATTGGAAACATGTGGTAAATGTTTTTTTACTCCTGTATACTCGATTTATACGAGCAATCATCAAAAATGTCGAATAAATACAACTAATGTGAATATAAGTTTCTATAACTAACTAGATGTAAAACCAAACCATTAGCTTTGTTTTATCATAATTTTAGAAACGAGTTTATTCATAGAGTTTGAGTTTAAATACAAAAGTCTATTAGTTCATAGAAGATTTGGCGAGCAGTCACAAATATCGATACTCATAAAAAAAGAAAAATATTGATATTTTTTTTTATTTTAGTGATTTCGAGCAACGTTATGATTCTACTTTATCTATTTTGTCTAATTCCAATTCTGTGTCAATGTCAACAATACAATCTTCTTTTACCTGGTCATCCACCCTTCACCACGCGTATAATAGGCAATAAAGAAATTGTTCGAGAAAATCATCCATTTATGGGAACATTTTCTAAAATTAGTATAAACGGTGTATTCAATGTTCAGTTAATATATAATGATGATGAAAATGATAATACAACATTTGTTGAAATTGAAACTGATAAAAATTTACAACAATTTGTTCTTGTTGAAATTCAAACTAGTGATACACTTATTATACGTATGAAAAATGAGATGAATTATAACACAAATAATATTCATTCAACTAATATGACTGTCTATATCAAATATAAATATTTAAAACAATTAGATATTAATGGATTAGTTAATTTAGAATGTTTGAATCAAATACAAACAGAACAATTTATATTTCATAATAAAGGAACGGGTAGTGTTAAATTAAAATTAAATGTTAATTATTTTGATGCCTTTTTACATTCAATTGGACCAGTCAAATTTTGTGGACAAATTAATGATGAAGCAACATTAACCTATATTGGTGTTGGTGATATTGATTGTTCAAATTTAATGACAAAAAAGATAAATGTTATTAGTAGTGGAATAGGAAATGTACATGTTGTAGCAGCTGATGAAATTAATGTTACACTAAGTGGTA